CCACCAGGGCACAGCCCTGTCGTTCCATGAACTGTTGTCCTTGAATGGACAAGCTTAAGGGCAACGCCCTTTCAGCTCAGTGGTCGAGCGCTGACTTTGAAAGCCACATGTCGGTGTTTCAAGTTCACCCGGGCGCGGCCCTCTCATACCATGAGTAGTCCGTTCTCGGACTGACGTACGGGCATCGCCCTTATAGCTCAATGGTTGAGCTCCGGCCTGTCAAGCCAAAGGCCAGTGGTTCGATCCCCGTCCAGGACACCACTTTCGCTGTTACAGCGCATCCACATTTGGATCATGCTCATCGAGCAAGTTGTTTCAAAACAACTATGCGTCAACGACGTCAGGGCAATCTTGCCGGAGGATAACCTCAAACTCCCATGAGTTCTGTGAGTGAGGGTAACCCCTCCACTTCACCAAGTACTGGGTACGACCCTGGCGTCTACGCCCGGCCAGAAGGCGTTCCACGTGAAAGTGGAGCTCACCATGCTCATCGAGCAGAGCAGGAGGAGGCCTTGCCTCAGCTGGGCTCTCGCGGGGAGAGTCAGCACTTGCCGGAACGGCGTCTGCGTCCATACGACACCAGCGTCCACGACGCGAACGTTCACGTTCACCGCCCATCGGTCGATCTCGAAGAGATGATCCACCTTGTGGATAGGTTAGAGCCACCACTGTTGACTCACAACCAGGTCTCGGACCTTGAGCGTCTAGTCGCTCGGCTGAACGTTCAGCTTGCCTTGCTCCTGCATCTCGAGCACTTCGCTCCGCGACCTGTGGCTCTGCCACATGCTGTTGATCAGCCAACTGTGGATCCACCACTTGCTGTCGTTTAGCCTCCCGTGGCTCTACCACCTGCTGCCCTGCAGCTGTCCGTGGCCCAGCCACCGTTGGTGCCAACGCCTCTGCGCTCACCTGAGCAGGGTCTTGGTATGGCTTAAGCAAGCCAACATAGAAGACCGGATGCGTGCGCATCTTCTTCGGAAGGTTGAGCGTATACGCTAGGCTCTTCCTGGCCACGACCTTGAACGGTCCTATGAACCGAGATCTTAACTTCGTCTTGAAGACTGCAGACACTGCATGAGTAGGTAGGTTTTTAGCGTTTAATAAAACTTGGTCACCGACCTCAAACCTCTCAACATTGCTTCTGCCCTTGGCATCTGCATGTTCCTTCTGCGTGTCTTGGCTTTCAGCCATAGCGTCGCGCACTTGACGCATTACGCTCAGTCTCATAGAGACAAAGTCATCGACTTGCTTGCGAACCGCAACAGGGCTGACATCAGCTAGCCGCTCGGCCATCCCTCCCCCATCAAGCCCTGAGCCACTGCGCGGCGGCGTCAGTGGGACGCGAGGGTTAACCAAGCCGTTCACATAGAACGGAGTGTAGCCTGTCAAGGCGTGCACTGCATTATTTAATGCGAGCTCAACGCGTGGGAACATCTGGCTCCAGCGTTTTGGCGCCTCAGCGCATACGCTTCGGAGGGTATCCTCCACAACGCGATTCACGCGTTCGGTTTGACCATCGGTCTGCGGATGGTCCGCCGTGGACATGTCCAAACGAGTGCCGAGCACTCTGAAGAGGGACGTCCAGAACTTCGCGGTGAAGCGCGGATCTCGATCCGAGACAATTGCCTCAGGCAAGCCATGTTGGCGAAAGACTCGGTCTAAAAACAGCAAAGCTGTACCTTCACCATCAATGGTGTCCGGCACTGCCGCTAAATGAGCCATCTTGCTCAATCGGTCTACAAAGACCACTATACCTGTGTTTCCCGCCTTATCCTTGGGAAGGCCAAACACAAAGTCCATACTCATGGACTGCCAGCATCCCTTGGGGACAGGCAAACTCGCCAATGGCGCTGCCGTGCTCGGCGCGGACTTTGTCCGTTGACACGTCTCACACGTGCGTACATAGGAGCCGACCCACTTATACATCTTGGTCCACCAGTACATCGAGCTCACCGAGCCATATAGCTTCTCCCAACCTAAGTGCCCGCCCACGGGCGTATCATGAACCTTATAGAGGATTCGATACTTAAAATCCTCATCATGACGAACGACTACACGAGGGTTATCCTCAGAGTCGGTGCTGTAGTACAGCAGGCCGCCATCGAACGAGTATCGATGCAGCCTCGCGCGTAAGCGCCCAGACAACTCCTTGTCAGAGTCTTTAAACTCTTCGCTCCCAAGAGCCCGTAGCAGCGCTACGCACATGTCGTCTTGTGCATACGCTCCGCGTATCAAGTCAGGCACTGACGACGAGGTCTCCCCACCTCCTGCTCCTCCTGCTCCCGCTGCGAGCACCGCTCATACGTACGAGCTGGCTGCTGCAGCCACTGGTCAGAGCCTGAGCTCAACTACTGACCTGATCGCTCCCCACGCTAGTGGGAGGCGCCCAGCGCCTGGCGACGCTGTCGCACGCCATGGTGGCGCTTCGGCACATGATGTGCCCGGTCGTAAGCGTCAACGACGTCAGGGACAATCTTGCCGGAGCATAACCTCAAACTCCCATGAGTTCTGTGAGTGAGGTAACCCCTCCACTTCACAAGTACTGGGTACGACCCTGGCGTCTACGCCCGGC